TATCCTGGAACTAGCAACAGCAACAATGTATTTGGAGAAGTCCAATTAGGAAGACATTTGATAATTTTTCAGCTTCTTCTAATGGAATTTCAGAAGGTGGAAATAAACTGTAATCAGGACTATTCAGCTGTCAGCATAAGACTGATCCTCTCTGTTCCGCAAAGTGGCTGGGCAACAACTTTGAAAACAGGTAGACCCTGGTGTCTAACCCAGAACTGTGCGATGGGAAGGGCAGTCCAGTTCCAAAGAGATAGGGCAACTGCCCAGGGGTAGAGGGAGAGAAACATCCATGCCCTTGTCTGCACACAGGAATGACGAGCATATGGGAGAGAACAGAGTTAAGTCATATCCATCCTGGGAACCTCTGGCACCGCAGAGGATACTTAGCGGCACCGCAAGCAATACTATCTGCCGTGTCTTGGCAGGGGTTGTGAGAAACACGCCAATCTTAACTCAGATTGATAAGCAGCGATTCACCTACCAATGGGATGGCCACGTCCTCATACGGCAATTTATCTTCCCTCCATGCATCGTCAATCAAATCCAAGATTCTGCCGTCCCTTTGCACTTCGCTGTCCATCTCTGTGGTAGGCAAGTACAGCTGAATCTGTGACACGAAGCAGATGCTGTTCTAGCATCCACGCTCCCAAGCGGCTCACGTTTAGACCGCACGGCTGCTCCAGCTGTGATCCAGTTATTATCAAGCTTCAAATCATATGGGGAAGCTTGGTTTTCCTAAAGCACTCAAAAAGGGGTTATAACCGCAGCGCAACTACTTCGTCTGCAAATAACGGCGTCAAATTGAAGTGCAGGTTGATAAGCATCAGAGGTGAAGAAATCTGTAAAAGTAGCCTATAATGATGAATTATAGCGGCTTTCAGGGGGAGCGCCTAGTTACTAACCTTTAGAAGTAGCTGGTGGGTGGCCTTGAGAGCTGCGGTTCCCCAGGGCCCTCTAACTCAGCACGAAAGCATTGCTTCTCGCTGGCTGCCGGTTGCCTTGCGGCGCCAGCTCTGCTGCCATAACTCAGCCGCGGGGCTTTGCCGCGCCTGCGAA